GGCGCTCACCCGCATGCCTCGCTGGTCCTGTCCTGACAGGGGGTGTCGTTTGACCAGGCCCATAACCTGCTGATAGAGCCTGCTCGCATTGAGGAGGAAGAGGTCTGTACTGCTGTCTGCTCCACCCGCTGCTGCGCTCGCCTCCAGGGCTGCGGGCTCACGCGCCTCCTCCCCACTCCTGCCCAGCCCCCACCCAGAGGAGCCCTGCCTGCCACCCTGTCCCTGAGGGGCCCGCTGACCTCTGGCCCAGGGGGACGGGGCGGGGGGTCTCGGCAGGTGCAGGCATTTCCTGCCAACCACCCGTCTGCAGGGCCCCCCAGCCCTAAGCTGCCACACTGCCCAGGAACGTCCACCTCTTCCAGCTTCTCTCGTGCCTGAACCCGTGGCAGCGGTGCCAACGCAGAGGACAGGGCCGCCCCTTGCCCTCCCTGAACCCTGCGTGTCTTTCGTTTCCAGCTAACGCTGACCATCGTGCGGCAGACGGGCGGCCTGGGCATCAGCATTGCAGGTGGCAAGGGCTCCACCCCCTACAAGGGAGACGACGAGGTGAGTGCCTCTGCCACCACCCTTGGCCCCTGGCCCCGGGGCACATCCTAACCCAGAGCTTGCTTTTCCAACCTGTTTACTGATTTCAGAGGGAGAGGGACACCAATGCTGAGAGAGTCGCAGGTAACACTCAGCCACTGAGCCACGCTGGCCGGGCACGGCTTGCTTTTCGATGGGCGCTGCCCTCGAACCTGCCTCCCTGCCCCAGGAGACCTGCTCTCCGGCTGCCCGCCCAGCCCTCCCCGGGCACTGACCGCTGATCCAGGACTGAACTCGGGCTCGTGGGATCTAGTCTGAGGGCAGCGTACCTGCAGGCCGGGGCCTTGGCCTGGTTTAGGTCGATAACTTCCTGGAGGTGGACCCGTAGGTCAGGGGACCGCAGTGGCTCGCGCTCAGCCTGGGGCTGCGGGGCCTCCGTGGTGCCGCCCTCGGGCTCAGCTCTCGCTCACCCTCCAGGGCATATTCATCTCTCGGGTGTCGGAGGAGGGCCCTGCGGCCCGGGCTGGAGTCCGAGTGGGGGACAAGCTCCTGGAGGTGAGTCGCGGCCCCTGGAGGGTCCACCCCACCCCACACAGGCC